CTATTATTTTTTGGCAATCTATTGGTTTGTTTTTAATTTAGGCTAAAATTCCCCATCAATTCTACATTTTAGGGGAATGGTGTCAATGGAAAAAATATTCTCCACAAAATTTTACTATAGGCCACCAAGCAACAGAAATCTGCAGATATAATGTATAGCCATGAAAAATCGGTTTGAAATTGAGTGTTTGAAAATAAGTATTTTTGGGTAATTTTTTGGTCTTTTTGGGAAGTGGTCGTAAAAACCCTGAAATCTTCATTTTAGGGGGATGGTCTCAAAAGAAAATATATTCTCCAGAAAATTCTACTATAAGTCAATAAGCAAAATAAATTGTTATATATAATATATAGCCATGAAAAATCGGTTTGAAATTGGGTGTAAGAAAATAGGTATTTTAGGAAACTTTTTGACCTTTTTGGGAAGTGGTCGTAAAAACCCTGAAATCTTCATTTTATGGGAATGGTGTCAATGGAAAAACATTCTCCAGAAAATTCTGCCCCAGGCCAACAAGCAAAAAAAACCGTTATATATATTATAATGCCATGAAAATCGGTTTGAAATAGGGCGTATGAAAAATGAGCATTTTTGGGTAATTTTTTGGTCTTTTTGGGAAGTGGTCATAGAAACCCTCAAATCTTCATTATAGGTGGACGGTCACAAAGGAAAATGTATTCTACATAAAATTTCACTATAAGTCAACGAGCAACAGAGATCGGCAGATATAATGTATAGCATTGAAAAATCGGTTTGAAATTGGGTGTTTGAAAATAAATATATTTGGGTAATTTTTGGGTAATTTTTTGGTCTTATTGGAAAGTGGTCGTAAAAACCCTCAAATCTTCATTTTAGGCGGACGGTCACAAAGGAAAATGTATTCTACATGAAATTTCACTATAAGTCACCGAGCAAATGAAATCGGTATATATAATATATAGCCATGAAAAATCGGTTTGAAATAGGACGTATGAGAATTCGTATTTTTGGGTAATTTTTTTGTCTTTTTGGGAAGTGGTCGTAAAAACCCTCAAATCTTCATTTTAGGGGGATGATCGCAAAAGAAACTTTGTTCTACATAAAATTTCACACAAAGTCACCGTGCAAAAGAAATCGGAGGATATAATGTATAGCCATAAAAAATCGGTTTGAATTTGGATGTTAAAAAATAATTATTTTTGGGAAATTTTTGGTCTTCTTTGAAATCGGTCCAAATTACCCTCAATTCTTTATTTAAGGCGGATAGTGTGAAAGGATAAAAAATTCTCAACAAAATTTAGCTATGAGTAACCGAGACAATTAAATCGGTATACGTAATGTATAGCCATGATATATCGGTATGAAATCTGTTGTTTACAATTTATTAAAAGATGGTTACTATTTTTAGGATTTTGGGTCATTTTAGATATATACCCGAAAAGTCAACCAATTCTTTATTTTGGAGGGATTATACCAATAGAAGAGATGTTCTCTATAAAATTTTACTAGAACTTTCCAAACAAAATAAAACTGTATATGCAAGATTTACATATAAAAACTGCTATGAAATTGGGTATTAATAAAAGATCGTTGCAATTTTCGTTTTTTGGATCATTTTTGATATATACTCAAAATCTCCCATAATTCTTTATTTTGGACGCATAGTTACAAGGGAGGAAATGTTTTCCATAACATTTCATTCGGACTCTCCAGCCAAAAGAAGTCTCCAGGTATAATATTTATCTACAAAACAATGCAATGAAATTGGGTATATATAAAATGTTTATTATTTTTGGGATTTTTGGTCATTTTTGATATATACCCCAAAAGTCCACCATTTTTTATTTTGGACGGATGATACAAAGAGAAGAAATATTCCCCACAAAATTTCATTTGGACTCTCCAAACAAAAGAAATCTCCAGGTATAATATATATCTACAAAACAATGCAATGAAATTGGGTATATAAAAAATATGTTTATTATTTTTGGGATTTTTGGTAATTTTTGATATATACCCAAAATGACCACCAAATCTTTATTTTGGGCGGATAATGCCAAGAGAAGAAAGGTTCTCCATTAAATTTCATTATAACATTTCATACCAAAGAAAACTGTAGATGCAATATTTATGTATAAAAAATGCTATGAAATTGGGTATAAATTAAAGATGATTACTATTTTTGGGGATTTTGGTAATTTTTGATATATACCCGAAAAGCCGACCAATTCTGCATTTTAAGCGAATGGCTCCAAGGGAGAAAATGTTCTCAATAAAATTTCATTATAACTCTTCAAACAAAAGAAAGCTGTAGTTATAATATTTATCTATGAAAAAATGCTATGAAATTGCGTATATATTAAAAATGATTACTATTTTTGGAATTTTGGGTCGTATTTGGTTCCAGGGGAGGAAATGTTCTCCATGAAATTTCATTAGGACTCTCCAAACAAAAGAAACCTATAGGTGTAATATTTATCTATGAAAAAATGCTATGAAATTGGGTATAAATAAAAGATAGTTGCTACTTTCGGTTTTTGGGTCGTTTTTGATATACACCCAAAATCTCCCATAATTCTTTATTTTGGGCGAATGGTTCCAAGGGAGGAAATGTTCTACATTTAATTTCATTGGACCTCTCTAAGCAAAAGAAAACTATAGGTGTAATATTTATTCATCAAAAAATTCCTATGAAATTGGATAAATAAAAGATTGGTATTATTTTATTGGGGGAATTTTTATTATTTTCAATAAATATCCGAAAACTTCTATAAAACTTAATTTAAGGCATATGATCCCGAAGAAGAAAATATTCTACGTGCAATTTCACTGTAAGTCTCCAACCAAAAGAAATTGGAAAATACAACATAAAGCCACGAAATAGCTGTTCCAAATTGGATATATACCCATTATTACTTTTAGGGACTTTTTTTCATTTTTTTCGAATCTGTACCAACATTTCCCACAAGTTTTCATTTTATGAAGATGCTGTCAATGGAGAAAATATTCTCCATCAAATTTCACTATAGGTCCTCAAACAAAGGAAATTGCTACCTATAATATTTATCCCTTAATTATGCATTACAAAATTCAATTTATCTCAAAATTAATTCATTCACTTCGATTACCCCAAAAATATCACCCATAATATTCCCAATTTATTGGCCATAATTGTCACGTTAATTTTAATTATTTTTCTTGTTACTTGTAACCTTGAAATATTTTCAATATTTTTCTCAATTTGTTGTTTTCAAATCGCCATTATTATTTGTTAGTCACCCAATTGCAATTTTGCTTTTGTAAATTGTTCTCTGCTTGTTAATATTTTCAAGTGATCAATTTGTAAGTGGAATTATTATTTTTATCGATTTCATTTGTTGTTGCTGCTGTTGTATGGATTTAAAAATAAACAAAGAATAAAAAAAGAAACAAAATGTTGTTTGCTAAAATTATTCCAATTATTTATTTGTTGTTTGAGTGGTAATTTTACCTTTTGGCATTATGTGTTTTCTTTTTTTTTGTTTACAGCGGATTGTGTGATGGTGGTCATGGTATGCAAATGGACATTTTAAAGTCAAGCGGGGTACTGATGAACAATATCTGTCTGATATTCAAAAAAAAAAAAAAAAAAAAAAAATAGTAATAATAATAATAAAAAAAAAAAAAAAAAAATAATAAAAAATTAAAAATTATTTTAACGTTTTTAGAAAATTATATAATTATAATATTAAAAATTAAGAAAATACCGTAAAAACTGATTTTTAAATTTATGGGAAATATTCCTAGAAAACAACTTTAAAATGTTCGGGAATTTAACTTAATTTTGGAATTTAAAATTAAATTTTAAAATTTACAAAATTCAAGAATTTAATTTTTAAAAAATAAAAAAATTGGAAATAATTTTTAAAAATTATTTTAACATTTTTAGGATATTATTATATGTTTAAAGATTTAAAATTTAAGAAAAATACAGTCAAAATTAATTTTAAAATTTATGGGAAAAAAATCTTAGAAAACAATTTTAAAATGTATGGGAATTTAATTTAATTTTAGAATTAAAAAAAAAACTCAAAAATTAAATTTTAGAATTTTTGGAAGATATCCTTTAAAAAAACTTTAAAAAATAAAAGAATTTAATTTTTAACATTTACAAAAATTATTTCTTTTAAAATTGTTGATTTATTTTAATATCGATGGCGTATACGTTGCACTATTTCTTATACGCCCTAAGTTGCCATGGCCCCAGACAATATTCTTTATCTTCTCCATAGCTTGCATAGGATATGGGCAAATTTCGCACACAATTCCATTTCAAATATATAATTTTTAATCCATTTGAAAAATTCTCGGTTAATATTTTATCTTCAATTACCATTCGATTTCATTTCCGGCAGTGTCGGTGCCATTGCATTTCCATTGGAATGCAACATTTTGATGATGGAATAAAAAATGTGATTTACCAGCAATTTGCTGGCAACACAGACAACGGGGGTGAAAAGGGAGAAGCGTGGGAAGCTAAACTAGAATAAATTATGATGGTGATGATGGAAAACAAAAAACGATTTTTTTGAAAAATAAAAAAAAAAACATTATTTGGTCATTGAACAAGAAAAATAAGTATGGAAAATATTAAAGGGGTAAGGGGTTAATTTTCAATAATTTTTACAATAAAATAGTTTTTAAACCAACTTTGATTATTTTTTTTTTGTTGGAATATTAAAAAACGTAGTAAAAATCTATGGTTCAACTCAAAATGCAACCAAGAAAAAGATAAATACTTCTAATTTAAAGTTAAAGAGTAGCAAATAACCAAAAGAGAATAACCATAGCAAACATTGTAAGAGATAATGAGAGTGACGTCCCTCTCTCTCTTCAATGGGACACCGTTAATAAGGTAGCTTTTGTTTACATTTGTTTCACAAACTCTCCTCATTTCCACAAGATGTAATAATGTCTCTCTCTTTTTCTTTATTGCTCTCTCTCACATCCCAATTGTTTCTCTTATTTCACCACTGGAAGGAAGTGTGGCCGAGTATAAAAAGCCAAATTCATAACGAAATTCCTATTAGTTTTATGGCGGCAAGGATACGTGAAACATCTCTCTCTATACATGGTAAATGGAAATTTTAAAGTTAAAATTCTGAAAACGGAAATATGTGTGATGGCGGAATGTAAAAGACCAACAAATAAAGCACGTTTCCGACATTGTTTTGACAAAAGAAAAGTGAAACAAAAAAACGAGACCCTCACCAAAATAGAAAATAAATGTTGGTTTCCTTTTGGCAATTTCGTGAATTTGTGGTTGTAAAGTTATAATGAAATAATGAAGGTTTCGTTTTTCAAAATAGAACAAACCCAAAAAAGAAAAAAAGAAGGGGAAGTGAGGGGAAAAACACAAACAAACGTCATTCTTGGAAAACAACATAAAAGCACAGTAGCGAAATGGAACCCCCAAAAAAATTAAAGTTCTCCAAACAAAGTGTGCCATTTTAAGAAAAAAAAAAAAACTTTTGCCAAATGTATGGCAATAAATTAAAGTGAAAGTGATGTTCTCTTTAAGTTACAGCGAACAAGGAGGATTATAAATAACCGAAATAAATCCCATAAAATATCTATGGCTTCGAAACGTTTAACAACAGTTAGCAAAATTGATTCTATTTTCAAATGTGATACTTCAAAAACTAATAAATTTTCATGGATCAAGTTCGAATAATGGCCAAAACATTTTCTAAAGAATAAATAAAAAAATAAATAAATTAATTGTGAAATAAATAATAAATAATTACATAAAGAAAATTTAAACAATTATTATAAATATAAATCATTAAAAATAATTTAGTAAATTAAAATATATTAATAAAAAACAAAAGTAATATAATAAGTAAATACGTGAAGAATTAAAATATAAAATTATTATAAATTGTATAATAAACAAAAAAAAGTAATAGCAAGTAAATTTTAAAACAATTAAATACAAATATTTATAAAAATTAAATAATAAATAAAAACAAAAAATAACAATAAAATATAATAATACTAATAATAAATATATAAAGAAATAAAATTAAAAATTATTATAAATGTGTTTAATATAAATTATAAAGTAAAAAATAAATAAAAAAAAGTATAAAAAGTAAATAATAAAATAGAAATAATGCTAATTAAATAGAAATAAAATTCAAATTTAAAAAAATATAATTTAATTATTTAAAAAAATAAATAATAAATAAAAACAAAAATATATAATGATAATAAAAATAATAATAAATAAATGAAGAAATAAAATTAAAAATTATTATAAATAAAATTTATTATAAAGTATATAGTAAATCAATAAATATTTAAAAAATAATAATAGTATACAAAATTTAAATTTATTAAAATAAACTTTAAATAATAAAAAAATTAAAAATTAAATAAAAAATTTCTAAAAATTAAATAATAAAAAATAAGAACAAAAAAATTAAATAACAATAAAATATAATAATAATAATAATAATAATAAAAATAATAATAATAATAATAATAATAATAATAATAATAATAATAATAATAATAATAATAATAATAATAATAATAATAATAATAATAATAATAATAATAATAATAATAATAATAATAATAATAATAATAATAATAATAATAATAATAATAATAATAATAATAATAATAATAATAATAATAATAATAATAATAATATAATAATAATATAATAATAATAATAATAATAATAATAATAATATAATAATAACAATAATAACGATAAAAATAATAATATTAAAATAATAATAATAATAATAAAAATAAAAAAAACACAGAAATTAAAAATTAAACTTTTATTAAAACAATAAAATAATTTTTAAAAATTAATACTCAATAAATACTTAAGCCACTGGGTATAATATTCGACAAAAATTTCTACATTTTTTAATACATTTTATATACATTTTACTATAAATTATTATATTACATATAAATAATAAAACAAATTAAAAAACATTTGAAAAATATTAAAACAAATTAAAAAAATATATAAAATAATAATGGCAAATAAAAAATTAATATAAAAATTAATTTTTATTTCAAAAAATTAATATTTTTTAAAATAAATAAAAAAAAATATAAAATAATAATTTTTAAAATAAAATTTGTAAATTATCAAAAAAAAAAAACTTTAAATAATAAAAAATATAAGAATTAAAATAATTTAAATAATAAATAAAAATTATTTTAACTTAACCAAAAAAATTTAATTAACAAAAAATTAAAATAAATTAAAAAAACTTGGGTAATTAAAAATTAATAAAAATATTTATAAAAATAAAATAGTAATATAAAAATAAAATTTGTAATTTATGCAAAAAAAGACTTATTTAAAAATAATAAAAAATATAAAAATTAAAATAATTTAAATAATAATTAAAAAAATTATTAAACTTAACAAAAAAAAAAAACAATTAACAAAAAATTCAATTAAATAAAAAATTCGGATAAATTCGAAAACTAACATATTTTTTAAATTAACTACAATTTTTTGTAAATTTAAGGAAAAAAAACTTATAAAATAATAAGAAAAAATCAATAAAAAATAAAAAAGTATGAGAATTAAAAAAATCGAAAATTCAAAAAATAAAAAACATTTAAAACTGAACAAAAAATAACAAATTATTTTTTAATAAAACAATAAAATAAAATTAAAAAGTTAATACTCAATGAAGACGCTCAAATAACTTGGATATTTTTATCAAAAACTATTTTTTTTTTCTTAAAACTGCGTATTTTATTTCTTCCTCTTAGAAAGATTTTCTCTCTTATATAATTGTCTTATTTAGCGGAACACACATAATTCTTTAATTAAAAACCATGAGAAATATTTCTAGATTTATTTCTAAAATGCATAATTATATCTCTGCTGGTCCTTGGAAATGTCCTGGTCCGGCTTCTTAATTCTGGATTTTTTTTCAAAAAAAAAAAAAAAATCCTCGTTTGGATATCTGTCGTCCTTAAATATTTTGATCTCCCAACTTTCTTTTAAAAATTATATTTTGTTCATAATATACGTATACAAGGTGATTCGGGGAGCCATTCTTATCTCTTCTTTTGCTGTCAAAATGCAACCCTTTTTTTAAAAAATATATATATTTAAATTCTTCCTATTTTGAAAAAGAATGCGACGTGCACAATATCGATATCTACAATTTCTGAAACATATTTTAGAATTTCCTGCTTTTTTTGAAGGATTTCATGTGGAAACCCCTTCGATAGCAAGATAAGACCTGAATTTGACTCTCGCCTCCTGTGTGACCTTATCTATAGGCCTTGTTTTTTTTATTAAATTCAGATTTATTTTTCAATTTCAAAATTGCTAAATTTTATATAGGCCTTTTTTTCATTAAATTTAGATTTTTTTAATTTCAAAATATTCCTTAAAATTCCTTGATGCCTCTTGAAAACAAATATATCCTTTAAAAATCCAAAAATATTAGGCTAGGAATGTACTAGGCTAGGAATGTAGGGTTTAATTATTTATTGCTGCACCATGATATAATACACAAACACACGACCACACACACACACAGATACATTCTCAAAGTGGTTATTGAGCCAGCTAGCCAGCTGTGTCTCCACAGGGGACATAACACGTTTTATGGCCTTTCATTTCGATTTGCCAGTGATACGCTTTGAGGCGAACACACAAAACACAATGCAAACCTAATTCAAATGTAAATTACAATTGTTTTGTTGCTTATCTAATCCAGCAGGAGCAACAAAAGCAACAACAACAACAACTACTAAAAGGTCAGGAAATGTGGTAGATTTTTGGGTTTCGGGTTTAAAGGAAAATAAGGGTTTTGTTTTGTGGGAAAATGGTGGCCTATTTTTGGTGGGGGAATATTTTTTTTCTTCAGGGCAGAGGGGGGGGGAGTGTCCTTGCGGGGTATCTAGTAAGGGATAGTTGATAGAATTCTAATCCGGTAGGAGCAACAACAGTTACAAGGCCAGGAAGTGTGGTAAATTTGTAAGTTTCGGGTTTGCAGGAATGTGAGTTTGTGAGGAAATGTGGCCTATTTTTGCTGTGGGATTAATATTTTTTCAGGACAAAGGGGGGTCCTTGTAGGGGATCATAAGGGAGGGTTGATAGGATTTTAACGTGGATTTTTGAGGAATATTTTCAGGGACACAAAAACGAGGATTTTAGAAAAATGTTTTCAAGGACTCTAAGCGTGGATTTTAGGACTCTAAGAAAGGATATTTGAAGAGAAAATATTGATGGATTTTCAAGGACTCTTACAATGATATTTTAAGAATACTTTATAGATCTATAAATGTGAATTTTCAAAGACAATTTTCAAGAAGTTTTGTTTCGTTTTTAGAATATTTTCAAGGGCTCTAAACCTGAATACTTTCAAGGACTCTAATCGAGGCTATTTATCAGAATATTTACAATAGCTCTAAGGGACTCTAAAGTGTTTTAGTGATATTTTTTTTAATTAGGTCCTTAGAAAATCCTCTTTTAAATGTGGCTGGGATTTATAAGAATATTTTTCAATATAATTTTAAATTTAAAAAAAAATTGAAGGATATTTGGTCTTCAAAACCAATATTTTTTGCAAGGACCCAAAACAGGATATTTTTTGAAGGATATTTGCCAAGGGGTCTTTAATAATATTTTTATTTATTTTATTTATTTTGGGATATTTTTTCAGGATTTTTGAGAATAAACAAATTTTAAAGGATATTTTTCCAAGGACCCAATGACCAGAAAAATCGGGTTTTCAAGGATGTTTTAATTAGATCCTTTAAAAATATCCGTAGAAAATATATTTTTTAACACAATTTTTGCAAGAACGCCAAAATATATATATTTTTTGAAGGATATTTGTCATATGTATCCAGGACCAATATTGTTTGAAGGGACCCATAACAAGACGTTTTTGAAATAATCAATTGGCGTGGATTTTTAAAAAATACTTTTTTTATAAACAGAATTTTTTGATAGGACAAATTAAAGCGGATTTTTAAACAATATTTTTAAAGACCAGGGTTCTATACCCTATTTCCGAAAAGATCAATAAACGTAGATTTTTAAAGGATATGTTTAAAAGCATCAATAAATGAGGATTTTTGGGGATATGTTTGAAAGGATCAATAAACGTGGATTTTTAAAGGATTTTTTTTGAAAGGATCAATAAACGTAGATTTTTCAAGGATTTGTTTGAAAGGATCAATAAACGTGGATTTGTAAAGGATATTTTTGGACGGACCAATAAACGTGGATATTTAAAGGATATTTATTGAAGACCAGGATATTTTTGGAAGGACCAATAAACTTTTTTTTTTTAAAGGATAGTTTTGGAAGGACCAATTAACATGAATTTTAAAGGATATTTTTGGAAGAACCAATTAACATGAATTTTAAAGGATATTTTTGGAATGACCAATCAGTGTGGCTTTTTAAAGGATATTTTTTGAAGACCAGGATATTCTTGAAAGGACCAATTTACGTGGATTTTTAAAGTATATTTTTTAAAGGCCGGGATATTTTTAAAGGATATTTTTAAAGCCCAGGATATTTTTGGCAAGACCAAAAAAAACTTGGATTTTTAAGGGACATTTTTGAAAGACCCAATGGTTTTCAAATTTTTCTTTAAGACTAGGTCATTTTTGAATGGACCAATAAAAGAAAATTTTAATTTTTGTTAGTTTTTAATTTTTTTAAATGTTTTTTGTTATATTGGAAGAAATATTAATAAAAAATAATTACTAATTTTTTTTTGGTCAAACTATTTTTTAATGGATATGTTTGAATTAAAATTTATAAAGGTTTTTCTTCATGATCCTATTGATCGATTCGGTAATTTTTTTTTAAATTTCAAAAATTTTATTTTTTGGCGAAATATATATTATAAAAATTTTTGATCGGTTTCTGATACCGAGAGATTTTTGATTCCGGCAGTAAAATTAATTTCAGAATTTCACTCAAAGAAGAAAAAGTCCCATTACTGTTGCTCGTTTTGGGTGATATTTATTTAGACGATTTTTTCATTTTTTTTTTTTTTTGGTCGGTTTCTGAAATTTATCATTTTTTGTTTTCGAACGTAAAATTCCTTTCTTTATTTTCTCAACAAATTCGTTTCATTAATTTATTTAAAAATTAAAAAAAAATCCTTTTTGGTACATTTTTTGGACATTTTTTGGCGGTTTCTGAAACCGAATGATTTTTGGTACAAAGCCTTAGTTCGGTTCAGCCTCTTATATAACAAAGGAAATCCCATTTATAATAATGGCGGTATTTATTAGGTCGGTGTTTTGGACATATTTTTGGTAGGTTTCTATTTGGTCGATTTTTTAACTATAAATTTTTTGCTTGGTTTTTGGTACGGAGAGTGAAATTAGTTTCAGCATTTTATTGGAAATAATAATAATAATAATAATAATAATAATAATAATAATAATAATAATAATAATAATAATAATAATAATAATAATAATAATAATAATAATAATAATAATAATAATAATAATAATAATAATAATAATAATAATAATAATAATAATAATAATAATAATAATAATAATAATAATAAATATATAATAAATAAATAAAATTGCTATAGCTACTTTGGTCGATTTTTGGACCATTTTTCTGGTCGATCTATGATACCGAGTGTAAAATCAGTTGCAGCATTTTATTCAAAGAAAAAAATCCCATTGCCTATTTTATACGATATTTATTTTGGTCGATTTTTTAGACATTGTTTTTGTTCACTTTCGCGTAAAATATAATAATATGTTTATAAAAGAAGAATTTTTTTTTTTGTTTTTTTTTTTTTGGCCGTTTTCTAACGATGTTGGTACCGAGGGCAAAATTAATTTCATCATTTTAAAGAATAAAATCCCATGGCTCTTTTTGTGCTGTGCTTATTTTGGTCGATTTTTTGGACAATATTATGGACATTTTTTGATAGGTTTTCTGATACCGAACGATTTTTGGAACCGAACATATAATTTGTTTATTCATTTAAATTAAAAAATGAAGAAAATCCCATTGCTCGTTTAGAACGGTAAATATATTTTTGTCGATTAAAAAAAAAATTGGTCAGATGGAGCTTAAAATTAGTAGAAAAAGAAAAATTGATTTTTTTCTTTTTCTCAAAAAAAAAAAAAAAAAGTGCCATAATTATTTTGGCCAAATTTTCTGGTCGGTTTCGAATTCAAATTTTGTTTCATTATTTTATTTAAAAAATAATAATATTTTTGTGATTTTTTTATAATTTTTTTTGGTCCGTTTTTGATACCGAGAAATTTTTTGTACCGAATTTGATTTCACATTTTTTTAAAGAATAAAAAAAGAAACAAATAAAAATCCAATTTCTCAATTGGGCCATGTTTTTTTGGGTCATTTTTTATTTGGAAATTTTTTTGGTCGGTTTCTTGTACAAGCATTTTTTCTGAAAGAAAATAATTTCCCCATTTGCTGCTCATTTTGGTTTGTTTCTAAAACAATTCCTGGTTGGTTTGATCATTATAGGAGTAACGAAATGGAAAATAAAATAAAACAAAAAAAATGCAAAATATGTGTTACAAATTAACTGTCTGCCGTTAAGTTTCCCTCAAATAAAAAAAAAACAAATATTCCATAAACTCCCATAAATCACAACAGGATCAACCCCCCCCCATGACGTATGATTAATATTGTATTATAAAAACAATCAAACACACCAGGGGTATTACGGTTTTGTTTTTTAATGCGAAAAGAGAAATGGAGAGAGAATGAGAGGGAGAAATGCCGCCACTCAGTGGAGGCATTTTGTCTTGTGTTGTTGTTTCCATCATAATACGTAGCATGCACAATCAAATGAAATAAATGTGTGAGTGAGTGGGAGTGTGAGAGAGAAGGAGAGTGGTAGTAGTACTGTTGAGTTAGGCCTGAGACAAAAGTCTCGTTAACATAATAATAAGCTTATAAATCAAAACTAAATATAAATAATGATTATAATAAAGCGAAGAAAACAAAACAGACGCCTAAATGTTTCAATTTTCTTTCTTTCTTTCTTTCTTTCTTTCTTTGCCACCACCAAAAAAAAAGGAAAGTTAATCAAAAGCAGCAAAACTGTAATCATCTCAAGACCAAACAGCAAAGAAAACGATTTTTTTTTTGGAGATGAATGAGAGACCTTGAAATAAGAAAAAACAACAACAACAACAAGTAACACCAAAACAATGCTCTTCATTTGCCATCATCGACGCTTGGAGGAATTTTGCTAGCCAAGTTTTTCTTTCTCATTTTTTTCAATTACCCCAGCAAAAAAAAAACAACAACAATAATAGCAACAATTAAAGGCATTATTTTACAACAACTACTGCTGTTGACAGTATTGACAACAATAATAACAATAGCAACATCTCAAGCGGCTATTGTCTCAAACGGAACAATAATTAGCCAAGTAGTAATGCTGCCGCCACCGCCAATACCACCAACAACCCATAGCACGGCAATGAGAATTTCCACAACATCGCCACCACCAGCTGATAATTCAAAACACCAACAAAGAAAACAGCAGCAACAACAACAACAACACAATGAATCTGCCTTTGTATATAGCCCAGCAGATGAGGCCAAGCAGTCATCCCCCACGGCAGTTAAGGCCAATGCCACAATGAATGCCACCACCCAGCGTCTGAAAGCAATACTGAACAGGACCCTGACGCAGGTTTCTTCTCCCTACAGCAACAACAACAATAGTAATATCAACACAAGTATAAGTGATTATACAGCTCAATACTTTGGCTCATCGGTGCTGGCATCAGGTTCTCCCCAGCTATCTCCACCACCATTGCACCTCTCCTCGCCCGGCTCATATGGGTCGCAAGATGATGATGATGACTTCGTTTATGGCCGCATCAATGATGGCCGGGGTCTGGTGGGCAATATAAGTGAGGGATTTGATAGTTATGCCACAGCTGTGGCAACACTGGCAGCAAATGGCACTGCCAATCATTTGGAGGCAACAACGGCAGCAACAACAGCAGCGGCAGCCGTGTCGGCATTTCCCACCGCCACCCAAACGGTGGCCACTTTTATGGCGGGCAATAAAAATCGGGCCACAACAATTATTGTTTATCCGACAGGTGAGTGAGGTGAATCAATTATTTCAAGAGAATAACTTTCCGCAGGACTTTTTGGTGAATTTTCTAAAATAATTTATGATTTGCTTTTAAAAATTATTTTTTATTTTTTTTTCATTTAAATACCGAGGGTCTTTGGGGCGTATGTGCAAAAAAAAAATGAATTTAAATTTGACAAGTAAAAAAGCAGTAAGTTCGGCCGGGACGATACCCCCCACCATTTAGAACGAATTTGGAAATTTTCAAAAAAAAAAAAAAAAAAAATAATAAATAAATAAAAAATAAAATCCGTTAAAAAATCAAAACAATTTACCAAATATCGGAAGAAACTGTTATATAGGGGCTATACGAAAACGTAGGCAAATTTAAAAAAAAAAAAAAAATTTTTTCAAAAAAAAAAAATAAATAAATAAATAAATAAATAAAAAATAAAATCCGTTAAAAATTCAAAAAAATCAAAACAATTTACCAAATATCGGAAGGTACTATTATATCGGGGCTATACGAAAACGTAGACCTGCACATGCAAATTTTTAAAAAAAATTATATTTTTTTCAAAAAAAAAAAATTATATAAAAAAATAAAATCCGTTAAAAATTCAAAAAATCAAAACAATTTACCAAATATCGGAAGATACTGTTATATAGGGGCTATACGAAAACGTAGACCTGCGCAGGCAAATTTAAAAAAAAATCAAAAAAATAAATTCCGTTAAAGATTCAAAAAATCAAATCAAAATATCGAATATAGGGAGGTACTGTTATATTGGGGTCTAGGCTACCTTTGCCATAATCCATTACAATATTCAAATACGAAAAAAAATCCGTCATCAAAATACCGAATATTGGGAGGTACCTGCATAGACAATTTTTGCCACAGGCTGTGGTACCTATTAGGAACTTCAAATATGAAATTTGAAACAATTTCAGTGAATATTGTAGCCAAAATCATTAAAATACCGAATATCACGGGGTATCGATATATGGGACCCATACGAAGACCTGGGCCTGCACAGACAATTTTCTGTCACAGACTGTAGTACCTATTTGAAACTTTAAATACGAAATTTGAAACAACTCCGGTGAATAATGTCGCTAAAATCATTAAAATACCGAATATCGGGAGGTACCGATATATGGGACTCATACGAAGATGTGGACCTGCACAGACAATTTTCTGCCACAGGCTGTAGCACCCATTACGAACTTCATATACCAAATTTGAAACAATTCCGGCGAATATTGTACCTAAAATCGTGAAAATACCGAATATAGGGAGGTACTGACATATGGGGGCTATACGAAGACCTGGTTCTGCATAGACAATTTTCTATCACAGGCTATAGTTTCCATTACGAACTTCAAATACGAAATTTGAAACAATTCCGCTGAATAATGTCGCTAAAATCATCAAAATACCTAATATAGGGAGGTACTGATATATGGGGACTATACGAAGACCTGGACCTCCATAGACCATTTTCTGTCACAGGCTGTAGTACCTATTAGGTACTTCAAATATGACATTTCAAACAATTTCGCTAAATATTATAGCCGAAATCACCAAAATACCGAATATTGGGAGGTACGGAAATTTGGTGGCTATAGGAAGACTTGGACCTGCATAGACAATTTTCTGTCATAGGCTGTAGTACCCATTACGAACTCTAAATACCAACTTTAAAACAATTCCGGTGAATGATTTCGCTAAAATCGTTAAAATACCGAATATCGGGATGTACTGATATATGGAGCCTATACGAAGGCCTGCACCTGCATAGACAATTTTCTGTCACAGGCTGAAGAATCCGTTAAGAGCTTTAAATACGAAATTTCGAACAATTCCGTTAAAAAATTTCGTTAAAATCGTCAAAATACCGAATATTGGGAGGTACTGATATATGAAGGCTATACGAAGACCTGGACTTGCATACGCAATTTTCTGTCACAGGCTGTAGTATCTATTAAGAACTTCAAATACCAAATTTGAAGCAGCTCCGGTGAATAATGTCGCTAAAATCCTCAAAATACCGAATATAGGGAGGTAGTGAAATATGGGGCCTGTACGAAGACCTGGACCTGCATAGACAATTTTCTGTCATAGGCTGTAGTACCTATTACGAACTTCAAATACCAAATTTGAAACAATTCCGGTGAATAATGTCGCTAAAATCATCGAAATACCGAATATTGGGAGGTACTGATATATGGGGCCTATGCGAAGACCTGGATCTGCACAGACAATTTTCTGTCACAGGCTGTGATATCCATTACGAACTTCAAATACCAAATTTGAAACAATTCCGGTGAATAATGTCGCTAAAATCATCAAAATACCGAATATCGGAAGGTACTGATATATTGAGGCTATACGAAGACCTGGACCTCTATAGGCAATTTTCTGTCACAGGCTGTAGTATCTATTAAGAACTTCAAATACCAAATTAGACGCGGTTCCGGTGAACAATCTCCCTAATATCATCAAAATACCGAATATAGGGAGGTATTGATGTATGGAGGCTATACGAAGGCCTGGACCTGCATAGACAATTTTCTGTCACAGGCTGTAGTACCTATTGGGAACTTCAAATACCAAATTTGAAACAATTTCGGTGGATATTGTACCTAAAATCGTCAAAATACCGAATATTGGGAGGTACTGATATATTGAGGCTATACGAAGACCTGGACCTCTATAGGCAATTATCTGTCACAGGCTGTAGTATCTATTAAGAACTTCAAATACCAAATTAGACGGGGTTCCGGTGAACAATCTCCCTAATATGATCAAAATACCGAATATAGGGAGGTACTGATGTATGGGGCCTATACGAAGACCTGGGCCTGCACAGACAATTTTCTGTCACAGACTGTAGTACCTATTTGAAACTTTAAATACGAAATTTGAAACAACTCCGGTGAATAATGTCGCTAAAATCATTAAAATACCGAATATAGGGAGGTACTGATATATGGAGGCAATACGAAGGCGTGGGCCTGCATGGACAATTTTCTGTCACAGGCTGTAGTATCTTTTACGAACTTCAAATACCAAATTTGAAGCAGCTTCGGTGAATAATGTCGCTAATATCGTCAATATACCGAATATGGGGAGGTATCGTTATATGGGAGCTATGCCAAGACCTGGACCTCCATAGACAATTTTCTGCCACAGACTGTAGTACCTATTAGGAACTTCAAATACGAAATTTCAAACAATTCCGGTGAATAATGTCTCTAAAATCTTCAAAGTACCGAATATCGGGGTGCATCGATATATGGAGGCTATACGAAGACCTGGACCTGCATAGACAATTTTTTGGCACAGGCTGTAGTACCTATTGGGAACTTCAAATACCAAATTTGAAACAATTCCGGTGAATAATGTCACTAAAATCGTCAATATACCGAATATGGGGAGGTATCGTTATATGGGGGCTATACGATATCTTGGACCAATATAGACAAATCTTTTTGAGGGGGTAAAGCTCTCACAAGGAACTCCTTGTGTAGAATTTCAGACGATTCCATTAAAAAATTGTGGCTAAAATCATCAAAATGGCGAATATCGGGGGTACGGTTATATGGGGGCTATACGAAATCGTGGACCGATATAGCCCATCTTCGAACTTGACCTGCCTGCACACAAAATACTGATCTGTGCAAAATTTTGGCTTCCTATCTTTATTCGTTTTGACTCTAGTGTGATTAAAATAGACGGGCAGAAGGACAGAGGGACGTCTCAGAAATTTACCCTAATCGTCTCAGAAATTTACCCTGATCAAAAATATATATACTTTGTTGGGGCTAAAATTATTATTTCGATGAACGGAATGACGAACTTAATATACCCTCCATGCTATGGTATGGTGGAGGGTATAAAAAATCATAAGAGGGTTATTTAGGGCGTATGTCGAACATTATTTTGCATACTCCCTTGGCGTATGATTAATGCTGTAACTAATACGCCTCGTTTATCTTTATCAGGAAAATTTATTTAAATCACTATTTTGGCTTCATCTATGGTACAGTGGGTCCTGCTCAAAAAAGCCTTCACCTATGGTACAGTGGGACCTTCTCGAAAAAGGCTTAAGGGAAATACTCTTTTATTTTATATATGGTGGAGGATATAAAAATATATACATAAAATAAATCAATTTGGCACTTTTTTAGTTTTTTTTTTACTTTTACTTTAAAAAGTAAAAATTAAAGAAAAGTAAAATTCTTTAATTTTTACTTTTTTTTACTTTTACTCACAATTTTTTTGAAAATATTTTTAAGTCAATTCAGCAAAAAAAAAATGAAAGTATTTGTATTCCCCTTAGCAAATATTAAGGATTTTTGTTTACATATTTTTTTTCCAAACATCTCCAGGAATTTCATTTATCTTTTATTGACCGACAACCAATTATCTCACATATTACAGTATTTATTCTCAAAACAAAACAAACAAATCCCACAATATATTTATATATAAATAAATAATTTTCTTTAAATATATACATATTTTTATTGCATTTTGGCAATTTGTTGGCAATCTATTGACATCACTTAAGTCCCCAGGCGATCTCTGCCACACACACTCACACACACCCCACCAGCACAACACAAACATTGCTTCTCTATTTGCTTAGTTTCTTGCTTGACCTTTTCTCTGAGTGGAGAGTAAGGATGAGAACATGTGTTGGTTGCTTGGTTTGTTTTTTTTTTTCTTTGCTGTTGTTGTTCTTCACTGAGTATCATTAAACAAATAACGGTTTTTTTTTTGTGAATGGTTGCTGGTGGTGGTGTTGCTGAAAATAAAAATAACTTCAACTGATTAGTGTTGTTTTAATGTTGCCAAGTATTTCAGTTACCGTGAAGTGGCTGGGTGAGTGCTTCTCTGTGTGTGTGTGTGTGGGAGAGAGAGAGAGTGCCAATTTAGGTGATTGCATGAAAATGTTGACATAAATGTCTAAACCATTTCTTTTTTTTTTTGCTGTTGACCTTTACTCTTTTGTATGG